TTATTTTATTTAATCAATAATTTAAATGTATTTATTGCACGGAAAATGGAGTCCTCTTACAAATTCAAACCTTGCAGAGACCTATTCGAACATACACAAAAAATATCATTAAAATCGTCCCTGCCTTTTAGTAAAAGATCAGTGACATACCGACAGCAGCAACGCCTCCTACTGGGTCCAATGTATTTTCAAACCATCCAGGAACCCATTGAAATATACACATAAAAATTTATCCAAATCGGTCCAGCTGTTTAGGAGGAGTTAGGTGGCTAACCACGTACAGAAGAATTATATATGTATATTAAGATGTTGTCATCATGATTTAAACTGAATCGGTGGTCTAGTGGCTAGCAGGTACGGCTACAGATACGGAGTTCCTTAGTTCGTGACCCTGGTTGAGCCCAGTTTATTTATTAAATTTGTTTATTAAGAAATTCTCAGTAACAACCCCCAAGTTGGGAAGTTGACAGTGTTTCTGCCCGGTGTCTCAGAGCATACATAAAGCCGTCATACTTGGCCACCATAGTCTAAATCGGTCAGGAGGACATATTAATTATGATATCATAGCTGTATTTAAAGTTGGAGGGATAACTTTAAATTTAATATTAAGAAAAGTCTATACGTGTTACAATTATTATCTACACATATGTTTTTCATACCACAAGAATTCAGTAGGTTCGATTTTTTTTTTTAATTTATGACATTTTGCACTTTGATGTTATAAAATTAAAATTTTCTAAGGTATAAAATATTTTGTAAGTTCCATTCGACAGGATAATTGATCAACTCTATATTAGACTAATATATTTTTCGCTCCTAAATATTGTGGATTAAATATTCAATGTTTAACTAATTAGTTAGTATGTATTATAATTTCTTCCAGTTAATAAGTAATCAATGTATTTTCTTAATTTTTGTTGTTAATTATTGGGCCTAATAGTTGCCTTATGTCTAATTACTGTCTCTCTGATTTTATAGAGTAGAATAATTAATAAAAAAAAACAAGTTTCTACGGTAGCGTGAAGTGCAACTTCATTGGTTATATATATTTGAAAGCAAGATTAATAAATTAATAAAAACTTCTAATATTACACTCAGTAAAAATATGATTTAAACGAATATCACACAAAGAGGAGAGAATAATATTTTATCTCTTTTTATCTCGCTGGATTTTTAGATCTATCGCATATACTCTCAAAAATAAGGGACAAACCCGAGTGAAGAGAGGGTAAGCGGCTAGTTATAAATAATTTGCTGAAAATAAATAAGTAAAAATAGTACTGTACCTTATATCAACGGTTACTATGGCAACCTAATGCAAGCGGTTACTATGGCATGGTTTTTCATGACCGTTTTTCATGACGATTTCTCGTAAAGCGACCTTGAAAATTTTTCATGCGCAGAAAAAAGTTTTACTTCAATAAAAAAATATGTTTAGGTACAAAAAGGTTCTCATCAGTAATAGCAAATGTCTACCTAAATATAATCACTATTTTATTTTGAAATATGTAGTAACTAATTGGACTTAAACGGTATCAATTTAATATTTGTTAAGTGTTTCTGTACATGCTAAAATAAAGTCACTAATCCCATTAGGGTTAAATCTTGAGCAATGAAATTTTTTAAAAGAATGGAAAAGAAGCCGAATTGGCCATTTTTCGTTTGTTTTTGTTCGTCTATCTATTTTAATATGTTGTAATTTATATTTTGCAAGTTTCTAACTTGACTCAGTCATTGCGTATTCATATCACAATATAATAGATGTGACAATAGAAAGAGATAAAAGATTTTTTTTTTTCAGATCAAATGACAAAAGAAGTTTTGCAAACGTTTAAGATAGTCAACAATGCGAATCGCCTACAGTTCACCGCCTGCAATCTTTATCGTTTAAGCTACGCAACTGTCCTCGGAACCGTTGTTAGCATTATTACTTATAGTATTATATCTATTCAACTATTTTAATTATGTTTAATGTATATTTGTATGTCTGCACTATAATTTTAGTTTAAATTAAGGGTATTTGAGTACGTATATTACCATTTTTTTAACTATTAAAAGATACTTAATTAAGGTGTACATTACATTACTAACGTCAAGAGTATATGTGAGCCATGAGGTCACATGTTTTGAAGAAAAAAATCCAATCCGAAGGCTACTTCTCTTTTGATATGATCGCGCTGTTTATTTTTTCAATTAGAAATTAATATATATATATTGTTGTAATGAAAGTGGTGAAATTAACGCTTAATCATTTTTTTTTTTCATTTTTCTTTCATTCTTACACCAACAGTTATATGGAGCCACTCAATCGCCGTTAAGAGTTATTCTTAATTAAAATTATTCTTAACTAATTAAAATAACTTAACTTAAAAAAGTATTTTAATTAATCTATGCCTAAAAGAATAATATTACTGAGATCTAAAAATAAGTATGTTACATAATATATGTGCGTGTTTAGAGCTAATACATGGAATAGTGTAATTGTATTAATATTTTGCAAGTGGATTTTCAACAAATAATTCTGTATTGTACAGATTAAAAGATAAAAAGTCTAAATATTACCTTCTGTTGGCATGCCTACACAAATATTTTACAACATTAAAACCAGTTACGTTTTAACGTTTAGTATAGATTTCCCAGAGAAGAGATTTTTTCCCGCATTAAAAAGAATCCTACATGTTGACCCGGCTAACCAGCTATCATCATACCAAATTCCATCAAAATCTGTCCAGCGGTTTTCTAGTGATGCGTGCCCAGACAGACAAAAATTCTAAAAACTAAAGATTCGGTTTCTGTATCGAAAATTATGACTATTTCAATAAGATTTTCCAAAAAATACTAAATGTACAAATGAAATAGAATTTTATTACAAGTATAGTATAGTACGATTAATCGACACAATCCTTATAATGGGTAATGCTTAATATTAAGGTGCATTTACATCTATTCAACAACAGGCGATTTTGAGGAACGCAACATGTTGAAAGCAACACTGTTGTCGTTTGTTGAATGAGTCTTGAAACAGAGCGTCGACCGTTCTACAAAATACGAGTTGTCGGAACATGTTGCTTTGTATCCATAGATGATGGGTTCGTTCAACAATATTGGTTCTACTAATCATATTTTTGATCATTTCGTATTTTTTACAGAATTTAAAAAAAGGAGAAAACGCTCCATTTATTTTTTCATTCTTATGTTATGATTTTCATGATTCTTTATTAAAAAGTTGTCCTATATTATTTTTAAAAAAATCGGTCCTTAGATTGTTTTATTTTAATTTTAAAGTGATTTAAATTTGCTGTCTTTTTACGTAAAATGTAATTTGTAAATATTTGAAAATAATATTAACGTATAAATACATGCCACACCAATTCTGTATTTTATATCTATAAATATAAAAGGCAAAAGTGATTGACTCATGTATCAACGCACAGGCCAAATCCTTAAGGCTAGAAAATTGAAATTTCAGCGACACATTTGTTTGAAATTGTTTTATGTAAAACAAGATAATTTTGCCTCATTTTGTGTTATGATGACATAAAACTAATCAAATGAATTAAAATATTTTACAAAAAAAAGTTTATATTTATTAATATGGTTATTTTGCTTTATTTTTAGGATCACCAAAAAAATAAGACACAAATTAGGTTAAATTAATTTATTAAAGCAGATTTTCAAAATGACGCCCTTCAACTTCGACACACAATCATCAACGTCTTAAAAATATTTTTTAAATCTATGGAAAGCGCTTGAATTTTCTCAGACTTTTGTTGCTGCTCCTCTCAATTTTAGTCTCATTTCCAGTTCGAAGTTATTTTGTTTTGACTAAAAATATGTGTATATCTGAAATACTAATACCTATTGACTACAATATTTACTTATTAGATATTCATATCTTAAAACATTGTCGGCTGGCACCGACTTCGAAAATATTTGATTTAGTATATATAGTAAATGAAAACCCCCTTTCAGTTATTTTTGCTTTTTAGTGCTTGGAAGTTGGTTTTTTTAAAGTTTTTATTGCATAAACATTTTTTCAGTGATATTTTCCCAATATATTTCCCATATTAGGACTATGCAAATAAAATACTGTTAATTTTTTAATTGATTTATATAGTACCTATAATAATGGCGGTGATTACACACTTAGGATAAATGCCAACGTAATTCAATGATAATTTTGTGATTAAATCTTTTTCGGCGGCACTTTTCCTTTTCTCATTAATTATGTATTAGATTATAGATTATTGCAGCAAAATTATATGATTAAAAACAATATACGTGATAGTAATTAATCAAACAGATACTTTATCATTCCGGATTTGTTATACATATAATATGTAGAATATTGTATGTAGGTAAAATATTTTGGTTACTTCTAATCAAATCAAAATAAGCTTTATTCAAAGAGACTTTTACTTAGGAATTCTCAATTTAACATTTTTAAATTTAAATGAAATGTTAGTAGGTACTAGGTAGGTACATCTTGCAATTTAAATGAAAACGAGGAAGATAAACCGGCTCGGAAGGCAGTTAATTATAAGCATTTAAAAAAATCGCATCTAATTGTTGACACTTGTTATTTGTTCTATCTGAAAATGACATATTTTAAAGTTTAAGAGTATTTTACTCTATCTATAGGGCTTACATTACTTTATAACGTAAAAATAAAATAATCTAGTTCGCAAAAACTTAAACTAAAAATGAGAAGTCCAAAATTACAAAATAGAATTATTTATTAAATATCATGTTATTTAACTTACACCAAAAAAAGTGACGTGCAGTATATTCGATTTTTTTTAAATAGCTAAAGCTATTTATATAAATAATATGTGATCACATATTATTATTACTTCAAAAATATAGAACATACGCTTATATTAAATTTTATACTGGAAAATATGACCGACTTTCTATGATTATTTAGAAAGGGAAATATTTTACATCAGTATAACTAAAGAGACGAGATTCCGTTGCGATCGTGTACGATGAGGCGTTTATTTGAAACACGGATCGTAGCGGGAAGATGGTGTCGTCTGATTGGGATAAGTCGTCCGGAGGTTTGACATAGACATGAAGCAAGGGCTGGGTCGATAGACTTGGTGGGTGTGGCCGACGGGGCCGAAGCAAGTACCCATGTTGCTGGGCATAAGACGGGGGCCGAAATGATTATTGTTAGCGGGCGCTTGCTGCTGCCTGCCTGGAAGACCACATGTCATCATTGGGTTGTTCGTTGGGCGTTGCATCTGTAAGCACACAACAAGATATTTAAACATAAACTATGAAAATTCACAAAGGTTTAGATCATTTTGTATCTCTTTCTAAAAATCTTTAAATTCTCAAAATTAAGTAAAATTAAATAAATCATAAATCAAATCAATAAATTTACAATAAAAAAATTTAAATTTACATTTCTAGAGCAGGATTAAAATAAAATTTACTTACATTGTATCTTTTTATATTGAATACTAATTCACAAAGAAGTTTCGTAGCGCAAGTTCCACCCTTTCTCAAGTGCAGATTTCAAATGTATGTTTACTGAAATCAAGAAGGGTATTTATATGGATTTTTTTATCTTTCTTCTTTATCTGATGATCAACTTCCTTTGCAATCTATTTTCAAAATAATAAATGGCGAATAATGCGATTATATTGGCCGATAAATATTTCTAGTCTAAAAATAAACACAATATCACAATAAGAACTGATTTAGTAAAGATAAACTATGTTTAAAAACCGGATGGAGTGCTTGATAGGCTTTTTAATCGTATTTTATATTGTCGTTAATTTATAACTAGCAATGCAATGTGGGGCAATGTTAAAATGTCGAATATATCATTAGGAAAAAAGATTTTTAGCCACGACAAATAGGAAGAAAATATGAAGAAAAGAAAAAACCTATAGAAACATTTATATTAATTTTACCTTTTAGTTCCGTAATTATTGAATCCTCTATATTAAATGTAATACAACGATGCCCAGAGCGCTGAGATTTTAATAAAATGATATGGGTAGCCATTGCGAAATAATCTTTTGAAATTTAGTCTCGAACAGGGCAAAAACAGTTAGCAAAGTATCTACCTATACAAAATAATATTTTGTCTTATCAAATTTAGTTGATATCACTCAAATAGCTACAGCCTTCAGCTGCCGAATGTGTTTCATAACACATCTGATTTCTATCTCTCAGTGATTTAACACATTGGCAGACTTAGAAAAATATAATATATTCAGCCCTTTTTAAACCCCAATGCTGGTTACGGGTCTTCCCTTAATTCAAGGGGCATTAAGCCATAGCCATCCATCAGAGCTGTACGCTGGCCAAGTGTGGGTTAGTGGACTTCATATGTCTTACGAAAACTTGATAATTTCTATGCAGGTTTTCTTTAACGTAAGACAAGTGGTAATCGTGTCGAAAATGATTCGCACATGAGAATATCAGAGGGGTGCGTGCTTTATATGTAATACTTAGTTCAAATAACTACGGTAGGTTTTATCAAATGTTTATTATATAATTGCGAAGTTAGATTTCCACTGCACAAGAAGCAAGAGACAAAATTATATTTGAGACTATACGATACTAAGAAAGATATACCGTTCTTTTCTTAATAATATACTTTCCTAGTAGAGAAAACCAGGAAGATGTAGATATGTTATCTTGCGATGTAAATTATGGCAGAAAGCGCTACGTTTCAGCTTCTATTTTTTTATATAGTAACCAATAATTCATACGAATACTACTATGAAAACGACTACGAATGTCATCACTACAAAATGAATTTACGCAGAGATTCTACCGTCTATTCTTGCAGATCATTTCCTCGAACTCGGCGGCTAAATATGCTTCAATAACAAAAAATCCTAGTGAAATCTTCTTCTTCCGTTTAAACAGGTCACCGTGATAAAGCTTTTGCCTTTCAAAAACGCTCCAAAGATTGGACTGCTATTCTTGGGATATCCTGCGATCATCACTCCATCGGCACGCTAGAGTCTAGACCATAACATTCTAAGGAATTTTGTAGCGTAACTAGCCCTTTTGAGTCCCAATGCAAAAAAAAATGGAAGGCACAAGAAGGCTACCTTTGCCTATCTCAATTATTTCGAGCCCTTATCGGGTAGGGGCTCAACATCAAATGTAAATAGCCCCAATGACAAATCATCTTTAGCAGAATTGCAAAGACTGAGATGTAGTAATTGATACTCTCACTTGACAATCGGATTTCCATGTCCCAATTTTTCGGCTTTATTTTAAACTTCTATCTGGCCTGTCCTCGAAAAAATGTTTTGAAATAAAAGAACCGTTTGTGGCCCGCTGGGGTCCCCTTGAATCAGGGGGCCCATGCGACCGCATTGGTTGCACTAGCATAGCTATGCCACTGAGGACAGCAAGTCCAGACGCTTACTGCGTTAACCTTCTCTACCAGGTAATTTGCCAATAACTTATAAAAAAAAGATATATTAGTTAGAGCCAGTGTCGCATACACCTACTATATTTAATACGTTATATACATACGCTGATATTATCATTGTAATCTAACTCTTGCGTCGTTATCAATTATTTTGTTTGATTGTTAAATATCAGATGGAAAATATGTTAAAGAAAATCATTCATATTTTATAACACTATAGAGGTGCTATTTATATTTTCACGCAGTACTTTCATGTCCACTTTATTTAGAATTCAAGTTAATAAGATAAATGTCATTTCAATTAATTTCAAAGGATATATTTATCATATTAGAGGACATAATGCATGTAATAGAGTACGTGTATTGAGGATAATATGTATAGTATATATAGGTATACCTACGTACATATTATGATACTCATGTGTGTGTACAGATCTACATATACATACGTATATGTAACTCTATCGATAATATAATGTATCGTCCTCCTGATTTATTTTAATTCCAATGGCCTGCCTCACTGATTTTCTCCTCCTCAAAGACGTGGTTCGATGACAATAAAACATTACCAGACTTTTTCCGCAGACTAGATAGAGAATTATCACCAAATGCTATCTAATTCTATTGAGAATTTCTTGAAGAAAATTAGCCAAATTGTCTGTATCTGTTTGTTGATAATATACAGCGCAATCATTGAAATTTTTATTATATATTTTCTGTTTAAGCTCGCTAAAGGTATGTTACATAGGTACGTTACTGCTAAAATAAAAAAATAAAAAATGGCGATTTTTTTAATATACCTAATATTGATTGTTGTGGGTAAACGTAAGCAATAATGCGTAATTATGTGAAATTAACTACTTTTATAAATTTATATATATATATATATATATATATATATATATATATATATATATTATAAATAATGGAAATCTTTTGTTGCGTACTTTTTGCAACACTTGTTTGAGGATAGTCATATAAATATACCACTGCTTTGTACAAAAGCGATCAAAACATTTAGATTACTCATAAGTCTACACTATACTGTGTGTTTGTGTTATTAACTTATCTTGTTATTTTAGGTAGTGGTCAATTCACGCATACAAATGAAAAAAAAAATAATCTCCTTTGTCTGAGAATTGTTATTAAGCTTATTTTAAATTGCAATTAAAAAATTAAGACAAATGGCAGGTGCCTAAAGTGTGTTGTGTCGAGTCATATAAATATTTGACGAAGTGTACCAATGCAGTGACATGGCTCTACTTGACAATTGTAAAGAGTTTTTAAAAAAAATCTAAGCATTTGGTGAAATATGCTAATGTGTCCAGTGTCATCAGTGTCAATGCTGCACCACATTCACCAGACATTCCAGTAATAGAAAAATTTCTCCGTTCATCGAGTTCACCAAGTTCTACAGTAGAAGACAACGGAGCAAGCTCTTCAAGTGAAGTGAAATATATGGGACATCAAACAATAACAGAACCACAAGAAGAAAAAGACCAAAGAAAAGTTAAAAATATTAGGCTTTAGATTAAAACAGTGAAATATTTTGCTGAAGTTGAAATTACGACTTATCGAAAACGTCACATTTCTTTAGTTACCTTTTATTCAAAAGAAGATTGTTATTGTTGTTGTTTGATAGATTAGATTAGTGTTCTGTAAATCCATTTTCTACACTCCCATTTGAGTTTTTTTCTGGATAACATGGGTGTAGCACGTGATGAAACTGTGTACTTTAAATAAAAGTCAATAAATGCGTTTTACTACTAAATTTGACGTGATGTAACAATTTTATTTATACACTTAAATTGGCTTTAAGGTAACAAATCATTATTACACACTCTTAACTCATTGAAATAAAAGTATTTAATTTGTTTCGTAGTAAAATTATCAATAAAACAAATAAATAATAAATATTCTACTTCGTAAATTTATCATAATGAAGTCGTTAATTTCGTTAAATCCTCCCAAAGTTAGGTATAACTTATATAAAACTTGTACCTACCTAAATAATACGTGTATCTTCTACAAATAAGTCAGTCAAAATATCAAAAGTTTGAAATTATAAGCTCATAACAGCTCATTATTTGTTAAATATGGTATTTTTGAAATTACAGCCCTCTACGTCTACACATTCACTTCTACAGCGATAAAGGTCTTTATACATATTACATATTATGAATTCTATTCTATTACAATTTATACTTGATGCTATGATTTTTAAATATATATGTCATAGAATGTTGATTTTCCTAGTCGAACGGGTTTTTAGAAATCTATATACGAGTAAAAAAAAATGTTCGCAAAAACAAATATAATATTTCAAATGTATACTTTATTTTTATTCATATAAAACTATTATTTAAAAATTAAATTATACTATGAAGCGCATTTTGTGTCCACGCTTTTAACGTCTTTATCAATGAGATCTAATTCTTTGGTATCTTCAGTTTGCTTGTAGTTAGTAGCCTGTAGATCCATATTCTTCTCTTGCTGCGAAATATTATCTGGCTGTATATTTTGCAGTCTTCTAGTTAGTAAGTATGAAAAGAGTTGCAATAAGGCTAAAACTATGCCCGGTACGAGCCAAGCGTCGGGAACTATCGACACAGTTTTCGCATACAAAAGTGAATAGAGCGGTGATGAAAAAGCCTGCGTAGCGCATTCTAAAGCACCCAGTATACCATATATTTTACCTGAAAAAGAAACGAATTGATAAATAAATATATTTAATTAATATGCCGAAATTAGATTTCATTGTTGTAAATAAAATTGATATTTTATTCTGTATATCAGGCAATTTTGTGTATCGATTTTATCGTCTTTCAATATAGGTAATTAATTACATGACAGGTTATCATGCTATAAAATAATTAAAATTTTGTGTGACTATATGAGTATTTATCTAATCAATAATAATTTCAGAGTAGGTTAGTCTAATCAACAATCTTGTGTAATCAAAATAAAATTTCGTAGTTAACTGGCCCAGCTTTGTCCGTAATCTTTATAATTAGACATTTCCTTTCACCGCCTTTGTAATTAATTAAAGAAAAAACATTAAAAGCCATCCAAAACACTATAAATATACAATATCACAATTATCAGTTCTTTTACTTTTGTGGTAGTAAAATACTATTTTAATTTTGTCGTAGTAAAAATACAATTTTATATAATACTAGCAGACCAGAGGAAATAATCGGGATAAAACTATCCTATCTTAAGTTGGAACAAATTACATATTTAAAAAAAATATGTTAACATCGGATAAGTAGTTTCGAAGTTTCGGAGTTTTTCACAGAGGCCAACAAAGTGACACGGGAATTTTATGTATTAAGAAGATACTAGTATATACCATTGTTATAATCATTATTAAAATCTACAGATGAATAATAAATCATACGTCAAATAATATACTTGAAGTACGCTCTCCAATTCAACTGGTGAGTTACATAGGTTTTAGTGATTAAAAAAATGATTATGTACTTTTTTTAAATATTATATAGATTGAGACTAAGAGACACAACTAAATTGTAGTAAAAATAATAAATGGTGGTCGATAAAATAAGATAATGATACCTATTGTTTTTTGTTATGTATATAGGTATATAATCGTTCAAAACAAACAAACAAAGATCTTCGTGTATTGTAGTTGTTAGAATTTTATTAGGTTAATGTATATTACCAGCAATTAAATTATTAGTCATATTATGTTCCTCGCTATCAATTAGATTTAGAATTTAGATACTTTTCTTTGAAAAAGGATTAGTTATTAAAAAATGATATAAAAATATTTATGATGAAATTAGGAAAATTAATTATCTTATTTTTATTAAAATCGATACATTTTTGGGATGACTAATTCACTAGACGTCATTATCGATAAGAAGTAAATAACATGTTATATCTATAATATCAAAATGAATTGCTGAATGTGTTGCTTAGCTCAAATCTCGAGAGCAGCTGAACCGATTTCGCTAATTCTTTTTTTAGAACATTCTTGAAGTACGAGGATGGTTCTTACGGAGAGAAAAATTTTAACATATGCCTGTAAAAGTCTAAAAACAACACTTTTCTATACTGCCATACAAAAGATTCGTAATAATACTTAAAAGTTAATTTGAACATTGATACCATAACATAAAGTTTAAGTGTTAGTGGAGAGGTTCCGGGAAGGCAAAACATTGATGGCAATTGTGTGACGTAAGAATCGTATAAATATGAATGTCAATATTTGTCAATATTATTAACAAAAAAAAATATGGCTAACGCTGGCTAATAACTATTTACATCTATTTAAAACGTATCTAGCACCGAACCCGAGCGAAGCGAGGGTGAGCCGCTAGTTATAACTAAATGTGTATTAAAGTCTAGAATTATAAATTGTTATTATATAGATACTAGATAGCGATGTTTTAAGCAAATCGAGCAGTCGAGTAAAACATTGATGCAATCATTTTTTAATTGTATTTATTACTGCTGTTTTAAATTGATAACAAACAGCAATTAACCTTTGATATCCAATAATTGCATAAGATATATTACGCATAGTAAATAATTTTCAGTCATTGTTTTTTATTTGATTTTATCTTTCGACAAAATAGATATTGCGAATTTACTGGAATTGAGGTCAATGAAGTTTAAGACCAATATTGGGAATATTTCTTAATTATAATTAAAAGTAGTACCTACTACCTATCCCCTATATGTAGACCTTGACCTAACTCTTCTTTCTTTCTTTCTCTCTCTCTCTTATAAAAGTATGACCTTAATTAATGTTGAAGCACAAATTTCATAATAATGTAAGAAGGATAATTTATCATACGTGGAGGGTCCTATATAAAAAAAATCATATGTATCATCTAATCATACATACACATACATAATGTCGGGGATAGTTCGACACTGCGTAACTAGCTCGAGTAAAAACCGCGTGAGTGTCAAAGACCAAAATTTTAATGACCAATGAAGAATTTGAATGAAATTGACCGTTAGTTATTGGAGTATAAAATATCTAACTGGCACTAAAGTTACTACGCCGCCGTTAGAAATTAGTACTCGATTTGGAGAGGTCCAGTCTGACACTATTTTAATTCAATGGTTTTTTTTACAAACCACACCACACACATAAAACTAATAAAAATAACGATATATAACTAAATTTTACTATGAATTAAAAATATGTCGTATATTAAATCAAAAGGAGACAAAGAAATGTTGTAAGCCCTAGAGAAATAAAGAAAAACTTATACAAATATATTTTTGTTAATGGTAGCTTTACAAAAAAGCTCTTATATTAATTTTCTTTAAATTGAATAACAAAAACTTTTCAAAGTACACGCCTCTGAAAACAATTTTGTTTAAAACTATTTGCAAGTGCATTGAACCTTGACCTCAATTTGTACCTTTGGTCTAACTAATCTATGAACTTGGTTCAATAAAACCAACTAGAAATATAGACACCAATGTAAAAACCACAATACACCTACGAGTACAATGTTCTTGGCATTATTAATGAAATTTTCATTATGTTTTTAATATATTTGATGAATTATTTATCTGTTTTTATAATACAGACGTTTCTTTTATTTAAAACTATAGATATAATATTTTCTTAGATTTACGCGAATATTTGACATTTTAAATAAAACTATTTTTTCGGACTTTTTCGCGGATTTATTTAGATTTTTGGTTTTTGAATTATTGGCTTTTGACGTCGTTATTCCGAATGTCACAAATAAACATGATTACAGGAGAGACTCCTAACTTGATTTTTCAAGCAAGTGCGTGACCAATGAGCTACTATACTATACACTGCTTAAAAGTCTTGTCTTGCTTTCGGCTGGCACCGAATCCAAAAGTATCCGATTAGGTACTTATAGTAGATGAAAAACCCCGTACAATTATTTCTTAAGCATTGAAGTTGATTTTTAATTTTTATTGGTTTCGATTAAAATATTTAAAATAAGGAAATATGTTCAAGTTATCCTTACCTTGTTCTGTGGGCAGAATTTGTTTGTTCAACAACGGCCTCTGCACAACTTGCGAACCCTGGGATATGATGCCGATGATAGGAACTGAAGCAAAATAATAATTATTTAAATTTTCGGTAAGCTAATGTCAGTAGTGCTTTAACAACAACTTTAACATGGATTTAATTAAACAACATACTGTTATCTATAAACTAATGAAATACTTAATTATTAAACTAGCAGAAAAGATTTACCTAATTTTAAAATTGAATGTTTGAAGGAATCGTATAATATGATATGATTTCAGCTAGAGTTTGTAAGGTAAATAGCATTTCCATACAGTAATATAAAGATAAAAGAAACATTGCATTTACTTATTTAAAGTTAAAAGGATAATAATATCATTTAAGAATAAATATATTTATCTTCTCGGCTCATATTATTACTTACTAATGAATACGAATAATGTTGTACTAGCGGCGATGAGAGACGATGTTGCAAACATGTACGAGAGGCAGCTGAGGACACCCACTACTTCATCACACAATCGCATTCGCCGTTTAAGTATGTTGAGAATTATAATTGTACCTAAAAATAAATAATATTTAGTATCTATAAACTATCTTAAAACATTATAGTAGCTGAATAAATATAATCCCATTAAAAACATTTTCATGTAAAATGTTGCCAAGACGAGACCATATTATGGTTCACTGTCAAAAAGTTATCAGATCTCATGTAGAGTCAAACTTGTAACTCTATAGGCCCTAACTCTGCAAGCCCTAAATTCATAAACTCTACACCTTATTCAAAATATGTCGCTTGGCCGTATCGTTACTACAAGAACTATTGTATAATAGAAAAGTAATGAACAGTGAATAAATTTTTCACCTTACGCCCATGTGACGGTAGCGAAAGCGTTTACATGAAAATGTTTTTAGTGGGATTTCACTTCTTTTTGTGAAAGATTACTAAAAATCCTGAAATATGTATTTAATTATTTATAACAAGGACTCCCTATATCAATTTTCAGACCTCTAGCATCAAAATTTGCGGAAGTTTTTTTTAGATATCAATAAAATCTAAAGTACAAGAGCTATGCAATTGAAATTCTATATGTTTAATATGTCCACTATTGATTACGAGTATTATTTTATTTATCTTGTATAATCAAAACCCAGCTATGAGGGTTCAAAAAAACGACGAAGCGCTTCGAAAAAAGGTAGGTATAGTGTCCTTGCGCTTTGCTTGACTCGTCTTGGCCGGGGAACTACCATGGCCCAAGATATCAATATAGACGTAAGTACGAAGTAAATATCGTAATTTTTTTTGTATTTTATTTTGACAACATAAAGCTGATCTTACCAATGAAGCTAATGGTGTTCCTGTAAGCAAGGAAAAATCCAAATATGACATCATCCCATTGGAATTTAAATCTGTAGTACATATACGCTAGTAGCACCTCCGCTGTAACAATAAAGCAGTTATATTACATATTATATATTACATATTCACGTAGTAAAAGTGAAAACCAGATTTTAGACTTAACGCAAGTCCAGCCGAAGTATCGATTATATCATAGTGATTTTTTTCTCTCAAAAGTAGTCTAATAGTGGGGTCTTATTACCATTATAATAGTTTATGTCAGAATCTTTAAAAGTCTAATTAAAAGTAGAACATCATGAACAATTTCTGTAATTTAATTTTCATCTTTAACTTTCACATTCTTTTAGAAGTAGATTCATTATTACACAGTGCAATGTAAGAATAATCTATTTAAGTCGTTTTATGAGGGTTTAGGTGAGTGCTATAAAAATATTATAAACCTCGATTATAGGGAATTATTTAGCAATCATTTGTTACTAGATACGGAATCATTCTTTCCACAAAAATAGTAAGTGAATAATAAGCATAATTTTCCATATTATAAGTCTTATTTTATATACATATGTATATTGTATCATAACCGAGTGTATTATTTTACTCGACTGAAAGCTTGTATCCAGCCCGTTTTAACGGCCCACTGTTGGGCGCAGGCCTCCCTTCAATACGAGGGGGATCAGGTCATAGTCCACCACGCAGGCCAAGTGCGGGTTGGCAGATTTCACATGTCTTTCGAAAACTTGCTAGATTCTCTCAGACATGCAGGTTTCTTCACGATCTTTTTCTTCACCGTAAGGCAAGTGTTAATCATGTTTGAAATGATTTGCACATGAAAATATCAGAGGTGCGAGACCCGGGATTTGAATCCCCTTCACTCGGTTTCCCAAGCGAGCACGCTGCTACTGGGCTACCACTGCCTTATTTAAGGCAAAAAAAAACATTCTCTCTAAAATACTGCATGTATTCTCTAAACTAGTGTGTATATGTGAATTGTATATAGGTATAACGTAAGGCAAATTTGACATATTCAAACATTCAGAAATTTTACACTATTTATATAATTTAAAATAAACAAAACTCTCGCATACTTTGAAATCGTAATAGTTTATTACGAATTATTTGCATGCTTTCGTGCGTTTTAAAATAACCTAATAGGTTATTGTAAGTTTGCCAAAAATATGACATTTTTGTATTAGATAGATGTATAGAAAACAAAAATATCCCACGGGAACCGTACATATTTTCGGCATAAAAAGTAGCCTATGTGTTATTCCAGACTATAATCTATCTCTGTGCCAATTTTCATCCAGATCCGATAAGCCATTTTGGCGTGAAAGAGTGACAAACATCCATACTCACAAACTTTCACATTTAAAATATTAAATACGGATTATTCTTCAGAAATCTGTATGCGTCAAGCATAGTCCATTCACTGGATAGGATTTACAAAAGGTCAAGGAAATGTTCTAATTTGGTAGATTGTTACAGTTTGGTGTCCTAATTAATATACCGAAATTGCAACCTTGGAACTAAACATTCTAGATATTTATTGCTCTATAATTTTTCTAATAATTACGTACCCTAGGTAAATTTTAACGGTTAATACAGAATAGATAGACTATATTATATGATAAATGGCCTAGCCTTCTTCAATAAACGTGCAATCTTATGCAAAAAGAATTTTTCAAATCGAATTAGTTGTTCCTAAGATTAGCGCGTTCTGACAAACTCTGCATCTTATAATATTAGTATAGATTAGAATACCAAACTTTAATAATCTATCAAATAAAACTCAACTTTATCTTTTGTAGCGAAAGCTCTCTTTTATGTGTTTAATGACTGAACTAGTAATAATGCTTACTCTGATTCGGTAGCTAAGTTTTGTTCCAAATAGAGCATTTCGTTCTATTATTATATTTCATTGAAATATATCTTATATTTTATACTAGCAGAACCCACGGCTTCGCTCGCGCTAAAACTATAAAAAAGACTCTAAAAAGGTAGGTTTCATACAAACTTTCATCCCCTATTTTACTCTCTTATGGGATGAATTTCGAATAATGCTAAAACACGTATTTACTTAATTATATTGAAGAGCATTAATACCAAGTTTCAAGTAATTCTGTTCATAAATATTTTTAGGGATGTATTATAACGTGTTTTCCCATGGGAATGAGATGATCTCTCGAGATAAAAAGTAGCCTATGACACTCCAGCTCTTCAACTATCTCCACACCAAAAATTACGCTAATCCGTCACTCCGTTTCGACGTGAAAAAAGACAAACAAACAAACATACAAACACACTTTCACATTTATAATATTAGTATGGATTATGTTTTTACTTTTTTTAATATATTTATCGTAGGTAGGTATGTATGTAATTGCTATCAATTTAAAAAAAGGCAAAAACATTAACAATAATGAATAAATTTTCTACATGTAAAACTGAAGTGCAAAAACTGATATAACTTTAGAAAAACGGGCAGGAAAATCCTATCGCCTTTGCCTGTTAAGTACCTACACATGTATATGTTATGTTTATACTATAGTGCCTAAACGTGAGATATTTAGTAGACGTGACTAAATAACATTTCAATATAAAAGTTATAATAAAGACGGTGTTACAAAATAATACGTGATTTACATTATTGATACAGTTTGGAGGATCACAGAAAAACGAGCTATTTTGTATGAATATAAAATCAATTATTTATATTATATAAACTTTAGAAACACCATTTATATTAAAATAATATTATTATTAATACGTTAAAAAGAAAAATTGTTCAAGCTAATATTTCACAATTTTTAAATTTACTTTATTTTTTATCATTTAAATTGCCAATTTATTTAAAACTATTTTAATTTAGGCTTTTTAATTATTTAAAGGAAAATCAAATAAAACTTTTTTTTAGTGTAATGCTCAGAAAAATTTATGATTTTTTTTTTACTCGCTTTCATAGCAAATACCTAATAACTTTTTTAATATTTAATATTATAGATGAATCAGTGTATCTTTTTGAATAATTTGTGATAAAGTTACATTACAAAAATCTATTTTATTGTATTGTGCAAATTTCTAAATTAATGTTTTAGATAAGTAGAAAGACTTTCATATCATTTTTATCGATAATTTATTACACAATACATCAAGTGTGAAGCAGTTTAAATTTCAATGTCTGAATCGATCCACTAGCACATCATGAAAATAAAACCTACGAATTTCAGTTATATAATTTACTAGCGACTCACCTCGCTTCGCTCGGGTTAGGCCCTAGGTTGATTCCTCATACAAACTTTCATCCACATTTTCGCCCCCTTAAGGGATGATTTCCGGGATAAAAAGTATCCTATGTCCTTCCTAGAGTCTCAAACTATCTGCTTACCAAATTTCATATAAATCGGTATTGTAGATCCAAAGATTACCCTCTACAACGTCACAAACTCACAATTCACAAACTTTATAATATTAGTTTAGATAATATCTAAAGTAGACACGAGCTTACATAGCTTCCAGCTTCAGACGCGAAACACGTGTACTTTAAAATACCTAATAACTGTAGATTAATATATAACATGGATAGACGGTTCTAAGAATATTAACTAGTAATAAAATTAAAAGCTTAACTAGAATACCACGTTATATTTCAAAGGTTTTTTATAATACATGATATTTACCGGATAATAACACTCTATCTCCAAGTCCAACAAACAGCATGAGGAATATGGTGATTCTTTTATATCCTTCTCGTTTTCTCACCAAACATTGCACTGCGTTTAATGGTAGCCGCCAATTTAGTACCGATACTTTATTATCTCTGTTCACGTTAACATCTTTAACCATTATTATGACATATATGAGCGAAGAGGCCTGGAAATGTAAGACAAAAGATTAAGCTTTAGATGCAGATACTAATTTATTAATAGAGTCTCAATTTTTGTTTACGATAATAGAAAATAATAATATTATATTAATTATCATTATAGGGAAAATCGAAATATAGGAATTGCCAAATACTATTCTCACAAAATTTCTATACAATATCCTATAGCAATATCTTTTTAGGACAAACTCCTAAACAATCATATAGTACATATATACATATAATTATGCCAATTTATATAAAAAAATTGTCTATCCATCATAAATATTTGTCATATACTGCTGTTTTCTTTTTTGGGTTCCGTACCTCAAAAGGTAAAAAAGGAACCCTTATAAGATCACTGTCTTGTCCGTCTGTCCGTTTCTCTGTCCGTGTGTCACCACCGATTTTCTCAGGAACAGGTGGACCTAGTAAGTTGAAATTTATACCAGATACTGAGGTCTATAGTCCCTATTAGGTGTATAAAAGTCAAGGTCCTGAGTCAACACGATAAAAAGATATGGGCGAATTTAGGTTTTCGCGAAAACTTGTAAGTACCAAAATTTACTTTAATTTTCATTTTTTTTATTTTTCGGAATTTTTTCTTTACTTGTGCTGTAAGACCTTGCTTTTAATCAAAATTAACAATTCTAGGTCAACCGGAAGTACCTTATAGGTTTTGGGTCGAAAACCTATATGATAGTTCCCGTTGACCTAGAATCACGAAATTTGGCAGATGCAAGGACTTTGGCAATTGCAAATACAGCACAAATAAAGGAAAAGTTCCAAAAAATAAAAAGTTGAAAATTAAAATTAACTAGATTTCCTACAAAGTACGGATCCCTCGGTGGGCGAGTTAGACTCGCACTTGTCCGGAATTTTATTTATGTTCTAGGCTCATCGCGCTCTTTGTGCAGCAAGCTATATCTATCACGCACCTTTGAACTAGTTGAGGCTAACATAAACTACACTTTTACTTTTAAGGAGTAAAACAAACACTTCACGTAAATCCGCCAGTAAAATCTAGTTTTATAAAAAAATAAATGAAATAAGGCATTGAGTAATAAAAATAAATACCTGTAAAAATAAAACAAGTGGAAACACACCATAGAATCCAAGGTGGTGATAGAGCTGGGGTCCGCTAACCGAGCCAACCACATGAGCTATTTGAATAGCGGCGCGATGTGTGCCCATTGTGCGAGTAACGTCGCGGCCGGACGCATGACATAACTAAAATTCAAAATATAAAACATTAAAAATATAGTAGGGGAGCAAGAGGGGATTTTTGCAGTTACTCAAGCGCGGCAGATTAACATAAGGGATCCAGGGGGAATACCTTGCACTCTGTTGAGTACCTCCACCATAATATAAGCACTCTATTTAAAAAAATATTTAGATAAGATATAATTACTTGAAACCGTCAGATTAAGGTATAGTGGGCTAATTACATCCTGAAAAGTGTGCAATTCAATAATCTGCCGATTTGCACAAGGCGAAGAGGCAAAACTTATAATAAACTTTATAATCGATAGTCAAAAGTCCTAACTAACTAAACTTCTACAGACTACAAGCAAATATTTTCAAACCTTATTTACTTGTTCTATTGTGGAATAAAATAAATATATTATTGATTTTTACATTCGAAATATTTTTGACAATACAATTAGTTTACAGTTATTACAAAAGGAATACAAAGAATTACATAACTAGGATGTTATATTCCATAAAGTGTTATCTGCTGAATTATCTTAATATACGTTGTGAGATATCTGTAGATATATCAGCGATATATTTTGTATATACAACATCGATTTTCTATTACTTTAAGTAATAAAAATGCTTTTAAATAACATTATTAGAAGGCATTATATTTCTTTAAACAATAAAGTAAGATAAGAACAATAAAAATGCAATAATTTGCGGAAAATCTGCACAAACAAAAAAATATTTGTTACAAATATCTGTAGTTAAATACAATATAGATTAAAAATAGGATTAAAAAATTGTTTATATCACTTTTGTTGATAAAATTTTTAACCAAATAAAAATCATAATAAAGAATTAAATTGAATGTTCCTATCATTCAACAACAAAGTACTCATATGACTATGAGTCATCATTTCATTATAATTTAAAAATAAATATATTAGTTAAATAAAACTGGCAAAAGAGTGCAAAAGTTAATCGAGTGAATATAAAAATTCGTAAAATACTTACATCACCTATATAACTGAAGGATGCTGCTAGCAGTAATCCGAAATTGCCTCCTAAGGATATGGGTATTTGGACCGCGTAGAGCACTTGAATTGTATTAGCACCAGGAAATGTGAGCATTAATAATACACCTATAGTCATAACACACATTCCCAGTAAGGGTAGGATGAGTAACGGCTTCCTACGTCCACTATAATCACTCCAAGGCCCAACGAATAATAAAATAATTGTAGAGAGAATCAAGCCGACAAAACTGCGGCTTACATTGATACTTGATACTACTTCTTGACTTTTTCCCTGAAAAATATATGAACATACATTCAAAACCACGCTTGGATATTGATAATGAAACTTTCAGATCGGTGCGGAAGTCTAAGCGAAATTTCTGTTTTTAAACATATTGGATTATCAAACGTCCTTACTCATCTTACCCGCGTGTAATTATTTTATTCAAATACAGGTAATGCAACGTTTCCGCATCCGCATCCGCATCAAATAAAAAGATGTAGGTACTCTTGCTATCTTTTAATTAAAATATAATTTACCTCAGCAATTCTGAATTCTTCTCCAACTCCTTTTTCGCAGATATCAAGTGAAAAATTCAAGTCTACGTGACAAGCAGTTCTTAAATAGAAATTCTGGAGCGAAGTCTGGCCTAGATTGATGGCCATCATGGCACCAACAAGAGCCGGTTCTAAGATTAATCGCCATTTGTGAGATACTTCGGGGGAAACTATATTTTGACATTTTTTTTGTAGAGGCAAATTTGTAGACCTGAAATAACGATAGGTCAAACATTTGATAAGAAATCGACAAAACTTATAATCGACCTTATTTTATGAAGAAATAAAATAATCTATATCCATAAATTCAACGACATTACAAATCAAATTTAACAAACCTTAACTTTTCCAACTCCTGAAGGTCAAGAGAACTTTCAGTCATAATTATAACCAAAATATAACCGTTGTCTATAAACTATACAATGTGCATTTCTCACTCAGTAATTATTTATAAATAGAATCACATCACACTATGCGTTTCACAAGACGTGTAAACAGGAACGTGTTGCTTGGGCTAATGTCAAATGATAAGATAACGTTGTTCTGTTTGCATATTGAAAACAATGAGAACTGCTTAGTTAACTATATCTTTGAACTATTGACGTTGTGGGATAAGTGAGATGTTAGATACACTGTCTGTAACTGGTGAGATATTTGCTCGCCCAAGCGAGGCAGCGAGCTCGATTGTACCAATTGCCAATGATAGTGGCCACTCAACCGGTATTACATGTATGGACTGAGACGCTGCGATGCAGGTTATTAGGCCTTTATTGATTTAATTCACGCATTGTCAATTGCTACTTACGTGTAGGTAGCAATTGAAATGAAAAAAATTGCACAATTTCAATATCATGATACATTAAGAAATTATAAGAAATTATGTTGTCCGTAATTTTTATTATACTATAAATTTCTTCTTCTTTGAGTTAACGCTGGCTAGATTAATTTTCAGCTAATTCCTGCCACCTTCAAGTCTTAATTAAGATTACGTCGGCATTTTTTACACATAACTTAAACTTACAAATATTGTCGTATAAAATAAGAACAATGAATATGATGACAAAATAAATTAATTCCTCACAAAGAACATTTTTATCTCGTCACTAGCATATTTTATATTTACCAAAAAATTAGTAAAAATACAATACTCAAATCTTCATTGTTTTATTGTAATCATAATTCATTGTAATTCTTCAGAAATGGATGAGTGTTCTATCAAGGTAACGCTTTTGATAAGAAATATCGGTCACTGTGGCTACGCCGCTATAGTAATTATACTTTATCTTTCATTAGTCATTTGATACTATACTAGAACCTACGTGAGTTATATCACATAATCAGAGTCTACCCGGTGAAACAGTTTAATTTTGAACTCATGTAAATATATGAATGTCAATATTGCACTTTATGACATTAATGTCTATACCTAAATCATAATAATTTATGTTCCATTTTGTTGTCCAAATGTTATTTTTTTTGGTGACAATGTGTATTATATCGTTTTTTTTAATGTTATATCACTGTCTAGGGAATCCCGTGTCGATTTTGTACATAAAAAGTGAAGGATAATGAGGAGAAAGAATTTGATTTTAAGCCAAATCACCTATTTTTATAAGTTGGCTATTATTTACGTGATATTTTTAGTAGATAATTTGTACAGATTTTATAAGAATTTGAATACTGCACTAACTGCCAAAAACAAGTAGGATAATATAGGAGTTCGAGTTAGTTTGATACGAGTTAAAATTTCTCAAAGAATATTTATTCGGAATAAGGAGAATCATAAATTAATTTTATGCTATTATATTTTGATACTCGATATTTGATATTTAAGTATAAATTTTATATTTTTAGCAAAATAAAACAAAGCTATTAACGTCCATACATTATTTTTCATAAATTGATACAGTTTGTATTCAAACTTCTATTCTGTGTCAACAGGTGCCTTTTGATATATGGGCATATACTTTACGGTATAAATGTAATAAAATTTATCAATTTATGTATAATATTTTCATACAAACCTACACTCCTTAACCTGCATGAAAATATAATAAACATTGAACTAAATATTTTAGGTTCGTCATAACATACATATATAATTCGAAAATTATGTGGTAGTTTTCGCAAAATAACTGAAACCTTTTCCATCCTCGAACTATAAAGTGTCAGTATCCGTTTCAAAAATCCATGCTAGCTGTCACTAACCTTTTATATGATATCTGTTCAGTCGCGTAAGTTGATAAACAAAAATAAGCCCTCCACGATCGCGGACACGCCGGCGTTACAGTTAACAATAGATTTCTTAGAAATTTAATTAATTTCTTAGAATTTTACCTGAAGGTGTTAATATCATAATATTAATATGTACCTATTCAGTCAAATTGCAGGTAGTGTTATTTGATTAAATAATAAATTTTATAATGACATAATTATGCAAGAACATGATATATTTATAAGAAAAAAAAATACGATGAAACTTATAGTGAAACTATACTTACTTAACCTACAAAGCAAATGTGCACTTAGGTAATAATTACGACTCACATCCGCGTAGAATATAGCGCTGCATTTTTCGCTGAATCACATTGCCAATTCTTTCGATGCATTTCGATTTCTAAGAAAAAAATAAGCATAAAAAAATTCAAATCTAAACGCTTAAATATAACGCAAATTTATGTTTAAAATTATCAAATATATTTAAAATAAGTATGATAATGGCTTACATTTATGCATAGAGGGCATATTCGGCCGCAGACTGTAAGTGCCGGTTTCGAGTCAGGCCAGATTGGGCCAAACTAGTTACGGGTTTGTCTGCTACGAAAAACAGCCCTCAGATGCCCGGAGTTGTATATAAAAGGTGGAGTTTACAACATCGTGCCTTGGAGATCATGTTAAGTTAATCGTAAGTTTCAATTTTAGAGTTAAAGAATAGAGAGTGCCCTTATGTTTGCGCATACATTGTGCACCGAGATTGCCCGCCGTAGCCCGAAATCAAGAAGGATTATTCTTATCTGTCTGCCATATGTCATATCCAATTTCCTTATAATGTAGATATCGAATGGAACACTAACAAAATAAAATTATGCTAGAAGGTAAAGGTTAGTAAATAGTAAAGGGTAAACGAAAAAAAAAAGTATATATTCCAATGAGGCTAAAATAGGTTTTAAAAATTATAATCTAGTATGTTTACATGTATGTATTCCCTTTTTTTTGACGTCCCACTGCTGGGCACGGGCCTCCCTTCAATATGAGGAGGATCAGGCCATAGTCCACAACGCTGACCAAGTGCGGGTTGGCACTGGCAGACTTCACATGTCTTTCGAAAACTTGCTAGGTTCTCTCAGACATACAGGTTTCCTCACGATGTTTTCCTTCACCGTAAGACAAGTGGAATCATGTTGGAAATGATTCGCACATGAAATTATCATAAGTGTGAGACACGGGATTTGAACCCGCTTCCCTTGGTTTCCCAAGCGAGCGCGTACCACCAGGCTACCACTGTCTTGGGCCTAAATTAGGTTTTAGAAATTATAATCTAGTATGTTTACATACTTTAGCAAAAAAACTTGCTTGAAAAAATTAAGTCTTGCTTATGACAATAAACAATGAACTGTGAAATCAATTTGCGCATCTCAAAGCTCTAATGTTGGGTAATTAATACAATTCGAGTGGTGCAGTCAACGAACGACATTGTGAATTGCTCATCAAGTTTGAGTAATGTACTGCCTACATACGTACACCTTTGCAATATTTTCACGGCCGAAGCGTAGAGCCAGCTCTAAAATAAAACAGTTGAGAATCTCGTCCGGCGGTCGGCACGCGTGAGCCGCTATATTACGCGTCTATTACGTGGTGATTATCGCATTCAGATCTCGGTGCATGTGTACGTTAATTTTTGAGAAGATTTCTTAATAAGTTTAATCTACTTATATTTTTCAATTATTTTCTTTCGAACTGCTCGGCTTTATTGTTAATATAGAATATTCTATTTAACTTAGCTATGAGTAGAAGCTTAAAACTTGGATTTAAAATCATATTTAATATAAAATATAACCAATTACCACTAACTAGTGTTTACTGCAATTACACCTCAACGAGTGCTAACGAGTTTTTCGGGGTTAATTATTGCTATCTATCTGAAAACAAGTTTAAACTATTTACTTCATATGTTTATTTGTCTTTTGCAAATTAGCTTCTAAGGCCAATGGTTGCATGGAACAGTTTTGTATAACAGTGAAGTGGGTATCAATTTTTTACATGTTTCCTTTATTCAGTCGTGCCGAATTATTGCCTGTTATAGACGGGTTTCAATGAAATCTTAAAACAAAAGTGAAACTTAAGTACATATTAAATTTGTGGATGTTTAAGTAGTGTCCTATAACATAACAGATATACTCGTACAAGTTTAAATTGATATATGGTGCTTTTAGTAATTAGAATATAAATTAATATTCTCAAACTTTGTGTATAAATATTATGCACTACATTCATAAGAAAGTATTTGAAGACAGACTGTGAATTTAAATTACGCTCTAGTTTATAAATACACGTAATAATGCAATACCTTTCTATTCCCAAGTGACGTTTATTGAGTTTGAATTCTTTCCCCACGGCTCTGCTTGCATGGTAGGCAAGGCGGAGATAAAAGGTAGCATATTTCCGCTTCCATCTACATCCTTGACAAATTTTATCGAAATTTACTTTCCGGTTGTAGCGTTAAAAGGTAACAAATAAACCGACCAATACACTTTCACAATAAACATAATGTTTTCATTCAATAAAATATAAGCTTTTGGGTCTTCAAAACTTTGGGAGAGTGAGAATACCGCCTCCAAGCAAATTTCTAAGAAATTAATTAAAATTCTAAGAAATCTATTGTTAATTGACACGCCGGCGTGTCCGCGGTCGTGGAGGGAATAAACAGTAAATGCTGAAAAAGTGATGTGTTTATGCCCATCCCATGAGCAATATCTAGGTACGATTCATGTAATAGATTCTTTTATTAATAGTACGCGTTTAATAATATATTCCCTGGTTACAAAACTGTCCCTTAGCGCCAACACGCATTGAAGGGAAATCGTATTGTTGCCATTGTTTCAAATGCGTTCTTACTTCTTACTTGTTGAAATGACGCCGTATGATTATCATAGAATCATTATGCACTCCTAATTGGGATTGTCACTGGCCTTGAGGTACGTTAAACATAATTGAGGAATGTGCTCAGAACGCTCGTGACACCATTATTATAGTGATATTTTCTAATCCACATAATATTTTTTTATCAAAAACCATTTGTATACCTACATGTAATTAATTTCATTAAAAAAAAAAATTTCAAGTAATTTAAATAGTTTCACTGAGTCCTTACACTCTTCGTGA